TCCATCACAAGGTCTGCCAGTGCCCCCTGCCAGGTGTCTTGAAAAACCCCCTCAACTCATTGGGCCCAGCCTCTCATCTCCACGGCTTCCTCTTCCACTGTACCCTCTGTGCCATGTCCCAGATAATGCCACTGCTGGGAACAGCCCTGTCTTCAACATCCCCTGCAGATGTGCATCTCTCAAGGCATGGCATCCACTCCTCACCCCATCAGAACCTCCATCCTCCAACTCGCTGTCTGTACCACTTTTAATATTCAGCTGAGATTCCAAGGTCCCTCACCTCACCATTATTTTATCAATATCCCAAACTCCCTCACCTTTTTATCTTCCCACACTCCTGCCTGGTGTGCTCCAAGGCCTGAATGAATCCAAGTCTCTGTCCTCTCCAAAGCAGTACTGGGCAGCTAGAAGAAAGCCATCTCCCCAGGCAGGCAGGTGTCCTATGAACACATCACCGAGAGCTCTCTGTGCTGCCTGTCTCTGTTCTCTGCTCAACTCACACTCTCTCTCTGCACAGTGTACTTGAACTCTCTTCCACGCTCTTCAAACCTCCAGCTCCCTTTGCCTCTCTTCCTCTTAGCACATGACCCTGTCTCCTATTTTGCAGAGAAAAACTAAAGCCTTCCAATAGCAACTCCCTCCATGTCTGGCTACCAAACGCACCGACCCACCTGTGTTTGCACTGATTCTCTCCTATCCTCCCAAAAGAATAGAGAGGCTCACCCTCCACCTGTGCTCTGTGCCAAGGTGCCACCAATCACCTCTCTCTTTTCCATACTTTCTACTTTTCCCTTTCCACTGACTCTTTCCCAACAGCAACTAAATATGCTCAAGATTTTTCCATCTCAAAGGAAAAATTCCACCCAGACTCACAGCCCCCCTCCCTCACTGCTAACTTCTTGAAAATGTCTGATCTTTCTGTCTCTACTTCCTCACCTCGTGAAACACCAACCTCACTTTAGTCCCCATCATGCCACCAAAACACCTGTCCAGGTCACTCTTCCACACCACTAAATGCCATGGATACTCCTGTGTTCCTCTGCTCCGAGACCACTTGGAAGCAGTATCCGAGTTCCACGTCCTGAACTTTATCTTCTTTTAATCTCCATGACACTTCCTGTCTCTTTGATTTCCTCCATCTCCAGTCATCCTTCTCTGGGTCCCCTACTCTCTCTGCCTCTAGCCCAGGCCCTGGTACCCAGCAGCCTCCCAGGCATTATCACATGGATGGCACATGGCATCTTGAACTTGATGTCCCAAACCATCTCCATGTGTCCTTCACACCTGCTCCCACCTCATTTCCTACCTTGGGGAAGGGCACCACTCTCTTCCCAGACCTACACACCACAACATGAGATTCCTCCTAATGATTTCTTCTCCTTCTGCCCCATATCCAAGCCACCACCAAGTCCCATCCAACTGACGTCTCCAACAGCTCTCAACTCCTCCCGCCACACACACCATGTTCACCTGAGCACCATCTTCAGCACAGACTATTGGAAGGCCTTCTAAATGGTCTTCCAGCTTCCTCTCAGGCTGCCCCACCCATCCTCTAAAGAGCAGCTGAAGACACCCCTCTTGCCTGGCCTCTGCCCCAAAGGCCCTGGCTCACATGGCTGTAGCAGCTGCTCTGGCCACACTAGCCTGCTACGTGCTCCCTGACCGGTTTCAGGGCCTTTGGACATGCCGAGTCCCTGCCTGGGGTCTCTGTGTTCCCTACTCCTGTTTGTTTGCCCAGCTAGTGGCTCCCTTCCTTTAGGCATTGGTAGAGACATCGTTCCCCCCTAGAAAGCCTGCCTTCACCCCTCAAGCCCGAAGAGGTCCCCTGCTTATCTCATCAACCTGCTTGTCTCCTTTGTAGCACTTTAAAAACCAAACCTGTTGCTGTTGATTCCAACTCACAGTGACCCCCGTGTGTCAGAGCAGAGCTGCGCTGCACTGGGTGTTCAAAGCTGTGAACTTTGATAAGCAGATCCCCAGGCCTTGCCTCCGAGGCACCTCTGGAGGGGTTCAAACCACAAACCATAATCAATTGCTCCACCCATGGACTGCCCCCATAGCCCTTCACATGTATGTAATTAAAAGCCTGGGAGCTCTGGTGGCATAGGGCGTAAGGCACTTGACTGCTAATCAGAAGGCTGGTGGTTCAAACCC